AAGAGCCCAGTCACATGCCTTACAGAGTCTTTTCTCATTTTGGTCAGCCACCCCGCTGACATTTGGCTATGTAATAGGGATGGTCTCTACCAAAGCCACATACTGAGCTTTACCAAACACCTGCTTTAAGTTCATTTCTTTCAAATCAGGGCCTAAAATCCACAGCATGCAGACTTTAGGTGTACGTGCTGTGCTTCCAGGAGGCTTCTCGTACATCATGGGACGCATAACCCAAAGTAACTCAGCCACTCTCCACACCTTCCAGCACCCACAGAGAGGTCTACCCTGCTGTGTTACAGCTAGCCCAGTTACCTCCATGCTGCCTTCACTTCTGAAGTGCTGGGCAGGCACAAACACAATTGGTAGAAGCAGATTTCTTGTCTTTTGTTTCCTTTCCTAGGTTACAGGCACGGCTAGTAACAAAGAGCCCTGTTCTTTCCGTCCACGCAATCTGCTCTTTCGGCCCATCCCATTAGTCAGCAAGCAGAACTTTAGACGTTGGTTGAGCAACGAGCCGTACCACGTGGTGCTCTCCTACTGGAAAGCGCCCTGAGGAAGCAAAGGGCAAGATTCACACTCCTAGCTCTTCCTCATCACTTCGGAGTTCAGGTCTGCTGGTTTAAAATTACTTCTTTAAGCTTCACTAACCAGTTGAGATTTTCCTCTGCTTTAATTTCTCCAGAGTCTTGCATATAAAAAGCATCAAGTTATTCATGAGATCAAATGTTTCCAAGTCATTCCAGTACTTCACGCTTACATACCTGCCCAGCTCTGCAGCAAGTTCTAATAGTACAAGGAATTCCATATTTGACTGTAAATAATTCCTTTAATTCCTCCCCAACTAAATATTTCAATTTTTATGTTTAATATCACATTATTATTATTTTATTCTTCTCTTATCAAGGGAGGGTATATTCTCTAGAGATAGCAGTTAATGATTAAGAATTGTGTCACATAAGTGATAACACCAACAAGCAATCTTCTCGTTATTATCTAACCCCTCCCAAGATACATTTCCGAAACACACTGAAGTGCTGACAATTATTTCTAGCAAATGGGTTCAAGACACAAGTATTTAATGTTTAGGACTTAGAGAAACGTCTATCATCATGGTGAACCACTGGAACTCTGTAAGAATCCTTTCTATGGAGCTCATTGGTTATGAAAAAAGCTGGCAATTTTGGAGGAATTGGACTCATTGTCACAGAGATGGAAAGCTACTACATAGCATGATTTCGCTGGGCCCAAGCATAAAAAAAACCCAAAACCCACACAACTCGCTTCGTTTAAAATCAGACATCAAGAATAAAATACATCCCCTTCAGAACATACCATTCCCTAACCCTTAACTCAACTGCAAGATTATGCAACAGTGTGTGTGTGTAACACGAAGTAAGAACTGTAAAGAAAATCATTTGATTAGATTAACTAATTATTCCAGCCTCTGTCATATCAACTTAAGTGTTTCAACCCTAGATAATACAGTATGATGCACAACTAAAATAATTCACTTATTAATAAGTTCTATTGCAGATTCTCCTCTTTAATGCAGAAAATAAAAAGCTTGAAAATACCTAAAAGCGGGACACCAACGTACACTGCAGTATGGAGGCTCGCACACCTATAGCACGCTCATTTTCCTCAGGTTGAACTTCAACAATGAAATCTTTGCTTTTTCACCTTTGTCCCAGTCCCCAAACTTTGCACGTACAAACCAGAGGCGAGGTACACATTACTATTCTTCTAGTCCCCATATCTGCTCAAAAGACTTAATTATATAGTAGCAAGAGTTACAGCAGAAACAAGCAGTTTATTCCAGCACTGTATGTGTTTTGCAAATGCTCTTGATCGCTCTTTACAGTCAATGGCTATATTCTGTCTGCTTCTGCAGCTCGAAAAACCTGTTTATGTGACCATGGTTACATAGCAAGACTAGTCATTCAAGACTGAAGTACTACATGAGCGAAACTACTTTTCTTTCAAGTGACACTCCTTGTTTTCTGGGTGACAGCATATATTAGCATTGCAGAAAAGACTGCATTTCTCCTTGCCATCTTAACAGAAGCTTCAGAGAGTTTCAATTAATATTTGGGTTGCATTCAAAGCTTTTTGGAGGCAAAGATGTAGAATAGGTGAAATCCCCTCTGTATTACAATGATAGTCTCTTATGGATTTGTGACATGAAACCAAGACTTGGAACGTAGGAGGGGAAAAAAAAGAAAAGAAAAGAAAAGAAAAAAGCAGTCTAGACAGCAACCCTTCATAAAAAAAAAATTTAACTCCCCTTCAATCTTTCTATTGCGGAGTATTAGAAGAGATTAGCAGGCCTAGACACAGCTGTTCTCACCTTCCCTTTATGTTTATTTATAGATGTAGTCTATCATTTCCCACCTACTATCCAATTAATAATGGCTCTGCCTTTACCAGAAGGGCTGATTAAAACTATGCATACCTCAGCAAGACCTCATTTCATTCGTCGTTCATGGTAACTATATAGGTTAACGCCTCCCTGGGTTCTGGGTATTATCCAGCTTTGGTTTCGTGTCCACCCCATAATCTTTTTCAAAACCAGGCAGTTGTACACACATCTATCATTAATGTCAGTATAGGAACGGCCTTAGATGTCCAAACACTCTGCAGATACGTTAGCGTACCTAGGTTCTGGCATTGCATCTGCTGCTGGCATACCTGGCAACCTGACTCAAGGAAAAGCTAGGTGAACTCTTTAGTTCAGGGTTCAGCTCTACAACTGCGCACGATTTAACAGGTGGCATTGTCCAACTGACATCCCTCTCTATACAGTAGGTAGCATTAGCAGGGCAGGCTACAAAGGTCAGGAAAGTCATAAAAGCATAAAGGATGTGAAAAGCTCATTTCCTAGCACAGCTTCACCTACTGATCCAAAACTGGAACGTGAGCAAGTTCTAAACTTTGCCCTGATCCTGTAAATGAGAAACATCCCTTGGCTCCTATACCAGTCCTCACTCTGGGAGATCAGAGGTGGGGAAAAAAAAAAGTCTTACTTATCATCCTTTTCATAGATGTTGAGCCCCAAGGCATCAACCCCCAGCCAAAGGTCAGTTCCTTTCTTATTCTTGATTTCAAAGTAGTTGATTCCATACATCTCCAGGTCTTGAGCAATCTTCAGGTATTCCAGCATGGCATTCTCTCTGGTTGAGACAAGGAGGAGAGCAGATGTTAGCTTCTCATTTATCTGTCTCAGAAAGCACAAGGTCCTCAAAAGAAACAAGTAACTTTTCCTAAACCAAGACATCAAACGAATTAAAACTGAACGTTCAGCATTTGGGATTCACTTCAGGAGTTAACGATATTACACGTATAAACACAGAGTATTCCCATTTACCAAGCTCTAGTATTTCCGGACAGAAAATCAGCAACATTCATCTCTCTCAGTATTCATTCATCTTTGTCTCACGGTACAGTCAGAGGGAAAGGTATAGTACCTGAACTTTCCCCATCTGCCAATGTAAATGCTTCAATGGACTTAAGGTTAGACGCACACCTGTACTTCCCCCCTCTCACCCCCAAAGTCATCACTGATACACTGTGCCTAGGTCCAGGATTTTCAGGAAGCCATCCTGTTCTCAGCACAAGTGTGAAAATCCTGTTGAGTTTTACCATGTGATTCAATGTTGGACTAGAAAATATACACCCAAGAGTCTCCCCACACAGGCGACTCTTGGAGTCTATTTCAAAAGCATGTTGTAGAACTGCAAGCTTAAGGTAATCAACCGACATAATCAAAAGGTAATCAAAGCGACCAGCCTAGGGACCAATACAAAACACTTACTTGAGCATGCCACTGTGCTCAGCATGCCACACCTGGATCCGTTCTTCCCACTGCTCTCTGGAGAGTTTATGCTGGTCCATCACCCTACGCAAATAAAGAGAGATTAGCAAGATTAGTCTTTGTGTTCCATTGATGCTGACCTTTGCGGTAGTCTTACTGAAAAATCAGTCCCACCCATGAAGCCTTACTGAAATCAAGAGGAAGATCCTACTCAGCCCAAAGACGTACTCAGTGAAGCAGAGTAATTCAGAATGAACAAAAATCCTCTGCAAAGCCATCTCTGGTCAGTGACCAAGGACATGAGATAAATAAGCAAAACACTGCAAGAGAATCACATACATGCTGCAAACACCAGAGGGTTAAAGCAAAGCAAAAGTTGGTGTCATTCTTGGAGTTGGGCATTGTGCAGAGTGTCATCAGGAAGTGTAAACAGAAGCCATTTGACTGATAACATACACTTATCCTGTGCAGGGATGGACTACGTAGCCTCAAGACTCACTTTCCAGATACAGGATTTTTAGGACTGTACATTAGGATTAAGGACATACAACCCAATCTTCTCCAGGGATGACACATTCATGACCAAAGGTTGCTCTTTTCTTCTTAAAGAGGAGACATTCATGCTGCCAGCTACCAGCATGGTAGCAATGTTTGGTAAAAAAAAAGCTGAATTCAAAAGTATACTTCCTCTCCCTAAGCAACCCAAGGCGACAGCACAAAAACGTCCTCTGACAGATAGAAATAAAAGAAGGAAAAAAACCTAAATGCATACAGTTCAATTAAAAAAAATAAATCATGTTCTCAGTGAAACTCTGTATTTAACTAGAATGATAATTCCTGACTTTAAAACAAACAAACAAACCAAAAAAACACTGAAAAAATGGGAGACTACATCAACCAACTCCTTCACCTTTGGGGGATCAGGCGCTCTGAATTGAGGTATCCAGGCTTGTGCACATCTTTGTTGTAATCTCCAAATTTGGCCTGCACAGCATAGGAGCCAAGTAGTACTGCTGTTTCAGGAGGACAGTAGATCTCATCGCTGAGGATCCCTTCCTTAACCTGCAGGAAGAAGAGCTTCTGTGTGATGTCCTGGATCAGCTCTTCAGACACATCCTCTGGAAAGAACTTGGCACGGAATTTGAACTGGAGGGGATTCTCCTTTCTGATTTCTTGAGCAGAAACCTGAGGACAGAGGGGACAACACAACTGAGCAGGGTTGCAGACAGAAGAATAAATTTCTTTTACACAGAAAAAGGGATTTTGGGCATTTGCCTTAAGAGGAGAGTGACTGGCGACTCATTACTGGCATTCCTTAATCCTGGCATCTTACTGGTATGAGAATAAGGGGAGACGCGTTGTGTTTTTGAACTGAACCAGTAAAATTCTGCTTGCGCAGCAAACCTTGGTCACTGGAAAATGATTTACTGTGCTGTATCAGATGGCAAATCCATGCAGTATTGTACGCATTTGACAGACAACAGCCCCTTCTCATTAAACAGGTATGTTGCTGGCTGCCCAATCCAGAAAAAACGTTCACGCCCTCAGAAGAATTGCAAGTCCACAAACAAGAGCACATCAGAGGCACCTACACTCTGTTACAACTGCCCAGCCTTGAAGAGACCTTTCTTTCTGATTAGTGCAACTGATCCTGCACAAGCAGAGATTAAAACCATCACTAGCCAAGATGTTCCTCCAGACACAGTAAGAATAGCTGCTTCTACCCAAAGTACCGTATCAAGCTGCTGCTGTATATCTGACAAACGCTATAAAGCTTTCTACAATTCACACAGAGGGAAAGGGCAAACTTCCCCCATGCCACACCTCACCCAAACAGTTCCCATGCAGGTCACAAAGTTTTCTCTAAAAACAATCCTGGAATTATGAGAATTAAGGAACAATCAACAACTGGTACAAGATTTATAAAGTTGCAGCCAATAACACATCAGGAATCATGTAAGCTTTATCTTTTGTTCAACAATTAGCCAGAAGTCCGTTACCTTTTTATCAAGCTTCAGCCAAGTCTGGAATCCTTTGTTGTCCACATACTGAAGACCAAAGTACCACACTTCTCGCAAACCTATGGTTTTAACCACCTACAACAGAAAGGTCAAAAAAAGTTATTGTAGGTAACAGTTCACTTGAGGTCCAGGTATCCTCTCAAGTCCTGCATTACCTGTGGGTGCAGGCAACAGCCTAAGCCTATTCCTCTGGCATCTCTTAATTTCATTTTGTAGACAAAGATACACTATAGCTGCCATAGTAGATACCAACGATGGCATAGGCTAAGCTACTTGTCCCACCCAGTTCCCAGGAGAAGACGATTCTGGGGAAACCGGGAGAGACAAACAGGGCAAGTGACAGGCCACCAACTGCTAGATTGGTACATGCAGCAGGTGGGGCTTCTGCTTGCTTGTATCTACTGGCCCTTCTTAAAACTGTACTTGGTGAAGCAGGCAAGTTACTTCTCTCACCAAAGCTTATGGTGAGATGGTCTGTAATGGTGTTAGCACTAACCACAACTAGTTAGCAGTACTAATGGCTCAAGTGATCTTGTCTGCCAGTCACCAAAGATTATTTGGCTGGAGGAAGCAACTGAGGGATGCCTCACACAGCTGCTGCAGTAAGCTCCCTGTGCGGTTTTTGAGAATTAAAACAAGCCGCAAGTATTCTCAGTCAAGGGTATTCTTTTTTTGAATTTACACATTGCCTGGTTTTGAAGGACAAAATATATTGACGGCCCAAAATTAGGACAAATTTAATTTCATATATTGCAAATGCTAACCAGATGAAAGATCCAGAAACACCATCTGTTGACTGAATGGCACACTTACTGGTGAAAATAGTCCTGTTTGGACATGTTCCAACAAGTTTAAGATCTCAACCAAGGATCTGTTTCACCCCTCCCCATTTATAGTATTGCTGGAGACACTCTGGCTGGACAGCAGACTTGAGAGAGACAAGGGTTTTTGGATACGTAATTAGCTTTTGCTGTAGTTTCCCTTAAATTTTCTTACCAGTGAGCGAAAACCAGCAGTCTGTAGCTGGAAGCCAGAGCTTCCCAGGGTTAGTAAGGGAGATGGGGAAAAATGCACCATCTTGATTAGCACTCTGAGAATTATTTTTTGTGTGACACTGTTGAATAACAGGCAATCTATAAAGTTTAGTGATATAAGCAGACCAAGAAAATTGCATAGTAGTATGAGAAGTGTCATTAAGCAAATACAATTTTTAAGGATAAAGAAGTCAGTGTCTACTAGTTGAGGAAATGGGATAGCTTCATGGCTAGACACCGTGGGCTGTATTCAGTAGGCTACAGTTTATATATTCTACTTCAGCAGGGCCATAAGTAACTAGTTATAACAAACTAGAATTTATGTTAAAAAAACCCAAAACCCAACAAACAAAAAACTCTGAACCCCACAACTTTTTAAAAGAGAGCTGGGGTCTGAAAACACTTCAGCCTTTACTTGACTAAAAGTCCTTTTCCCCTCCTGCCCCAAAGTGGCTTGCTTCACAGCCAAGTTTTCTGACAGCTAAATGCATTTTTAAAAGGGTCAGAACTGAGCTTTACCCAATCTACCAGAAAAACGAGTACGTTGAGCGTGGTACTTCCTGTTGCACAAAAAAAGTGTTGCAACTTTGTTAAAAATAAAGAGCTGCATAAATCAAGCAGTTATCAGGTCATTATCTCTGGATGGCTCTTACAACAGAAAAAGTACACTTCTTTATAAATCAAGTTAGAAAGCTTGCAGAAGCTATGACCCCTATTCTTCCCAAAACCTAAAGGCAAGGAAGGAGAAAGTATTAAGCTAAATTTCACAATTTGACCATTTGGGTTCCAATAAAAAGAACAAAGACATGAATATTTTAGTCTATATTCTGGCAAATGGTTTATAAACTCCCTCCACAGCAAAACAAGGAAGAACTAAGAACCGAGGCATTATATTCAAAATGGGAGACATCTCTCCTCACCCTCCTCAAATGCACGAAGCAGCAAATCTTAAGTCTGCCCATTCCACCTAGAAATGCATCCACTCCCAGAAATGGCCAGTGGCACACTCTCTTCCAGTTGAATCTCTTTTCCTTGTGGCCAGGATGGCACACAACCACCTGGGAGGTACTGCGGCCAGCTGCAGAGCCCACTGCGTTGTTTTTTGGGACACCTCGGACCACTGCAGCATAAACTCAGTGCAGGTCTGGCTGGAGTAGAGTTGAACTCAATGTTCACAGGCTTCCACTATTTTCCCCGTTCTATAAAAGGGAGCTAAAACCCACCTTACGTGCAGGATACACTTACACTAGCAAAGCCTAAAGCACAAGAGCAGTGTCAGAGTACTTTTGATAGCTGACAGCCAGGCCAAGAAATTGTCTCGTGGCTTTTAAAAATAGCTTGTTTCAACGGCCTTTCCTCCCCACAGTGGTTCTGCAGTTCAGTCTGGGCCACTCCCCATACCTGCGAAAACCTGTTCTCTCCATAGGCTTTATCTGAGCATAAACTCCATCCAAGATAAGGGCCTAGTAAAAGGCTTACACAGCAGAAGTGACAAGAGGATGCCAGAACAGCTTGCAGCTAAACATACAGCCTTCACCTTCCTTGATTTTGTGTTGCACACTTCTGCCTCAGCCTTCCCTTGATGTGTGGATGCACACTCCCACAAGGCATGGACTATGGATAAGAATTTCCAATCACAGCCATAGGATGTAAGGAGCAAATCTTTATGAGGTGATAGTCTAGCCCAATAGTGCAATAAGTGCTGCAAGAAGCAGCCCTCAGAAGTCCAGAACTACCTAGATAGCAAGCTAGAAGTATCTTGGATCTGAAGCATCCTGCCTTTTTCCACGCTCTCGGGACTGTGCGCTTCTCAGCTGGAGGTCAAGAAAGTAGTTTCTCTTCAGCCACAGAGATGAGCCCAACTCTTAACAAAGTAAACATTAGTGAATATACGGGCAGGGTGGGTGGGTGGGTGGGTGGTGTCCTTACTGAATCTTTGTCATAAGGAACACAGGATGTACTTACACTGCCTGATCTAAGGCATTGCTTTTAAAAACCTGGCTTTTAGTTATTTGGATTTTTGTACCCTCAGAGATGAAACCAGAGTTCTCTGTTTCAGATTAACATGGTAGGGGCTGGGGGAGGAAGTTACCCTGATGCAAGGGTGGTCAGCAGTGAATGGAAGGTCAAACACTAAATGCTGGTTCCATAAAAATGTAGGTTTCCTATGCACTTCACCATATTTCCAGTCAATGAATGAATACTTGATGTTTATCCCACATCAGTAATAACCAAAAGGAATTAAAGTTACATTTAATGCGAAACACAATTTGTAGTACTCTATTTTGTACTGTGAAGTTCTGCAGTGATTATAATTTTGTCCTTTCACTCCCTCCAAGAACCCACTAAATATTTTTTTCATTTGTTTGGGGTTTGGTTAGTTTTGGTTTGGTTTTGGGAGATTTTTTTAAAGAACTTTTCACTGGAAATCTGCACAGTTGCCATAAGGCCTACCAAGTTTAGCTAACTCACTGAAATGAGAAATTGCACCAACAAAAACTTACCAGGAATGAACATTGTTCAGCTAGTTCTGCCTACTTGAATTAAAGGTCAACCACCCTTTGCTGTGAAGGCTAGCAGGGGACAAGGGGAGAAGTGCAAAGGAATTGCTGTAACACTTCGTAAACAGCTTAATATATGTAAATGAAGTCAACATAGATCAAAAGTCTTAGTTTTCAGGGTTCCATCAGGAATATCTAGAAGCATTTTTTTTAAAAATATATTCCAGAAGAGTTAAGTTAAATTTTACTGCTGAAATCTAGGCCTTACTTCAGTTTTTAAGAGCAAGCTACTTAAGAAAAGAATAATAAAGTTTTACAAAGTGCTCTTTGTTTATTTTAGTTGTCTTTACCTGACCTTTGTAGGTCCATCTCCAAACAGACCTGTATATTGTTAACACAATAGCAGGAAGAATAACAGTAAAGGAGGAGAATCTTGGCTACTCATGTCCTCCACTTCCCTTGGAACCCCAGGAGGCAGGCTGGACAAGTCTCTGCTCCATCCTGCTGCACAGTGGCTTCTTACAAGGCGTGTTGTTATAGTTGCTGCATGGAGATCACAAACTTTTCTGGTTTTCCAGTAGTTTGGCAAAGTCAAACACCCGTGGCAAGTGGCTACCTCCAACTCAGCTTCTGAATGAATGCAGCTATGCCTACACCTTCGTCAGCCATCTGAAGACCTGATTCTGGAGAGTTTTGTGTAGAGAGACAACATTTCAACTTTAGAATTTAAGAAGTAAGAGCTACGCTGTATTTCAAAGCAAGAGGTGCATTTTTACACACCACCTATGCTGTCTAGATGTCTTAGATACCTCATGACACTTCATCATCCAGCATTGCTAGGAAGACAGGTTTCATTGGAACGTAACATACCTGCAAGGATTTTTGTTTTTTTTCTTTTACTGTGATGGAATTTAGAGAACTTAGTTTGGAGTAGGGCCCTTTGATTAGGAGGTGGAGTGAAGAAAGAAAGGTAGTTTTGGAATCCAGTCTTAAGAAAACACTATAGTCTGAAATGTACTCCAAGCTTAAGCAACAAGAGCCCATACCAACCCTTCACTGACCTGGTCAAACAGCTGTTTGCCTGTAGTGTTTGGCTGGATGGCAAACTCCAGCTCTGCATCCATAGTAACAACTCGAACATTGATCTAAGGAGAAAAACAAAAAGTATTGTTTAAGACTTATTGAAGGCTATTTCTCGGTGTACTTTATGTACAATACAGTCTCCACGCTTTGATGCACTACTGTAACCTCTATAATATACACACTTAAACCCTAATTAGATTTGTGTTATCACTCCAGCAAACTTAATTGGGGCACTGACTTTGCTGTCTTATCCAGATTGTTCTGCAGGTTCTCCTACTCAACACAGGATTGGACTGATCTTCTGGTTAAATGAGAGGGCATTTTAGAGTTGAGTGTTTCCAGGTGTAAAAACCCCTTGGAATAAGGCCTCCTGCAAGTGTGCAGCATAGCTTCCTGCAGGCCATCCCTTGGATTACGAAAGGCCCTAATGACTAAATTAAATTTAAGACTTATAATTTAACTTCCATTTATGTTAGAGCTGGAACTAATCTGAGGTTTAAAAGGCAAAAGGCTGCAGATTATTCTTCCAAAGCAATCAGCGTTAACCCGATAAACAGTCATTCTTCCCCTCATAAAAATCTGCTCAGCACATAAAACCAGCAGTTATAGGTACTGAATGATACTACAGGGCAAGAGTTCATTATTGCTGTTAGTGAAGAAACATCATAACCAGATTTACTACCATGGCAGAAGTAGACTGCAAAACAGAGGTTAGTATTGTATGCAGAAGGCAAGAGTGGTTAATGACTAGAAAAAGTCTAATTAGCAGTTAATCTAAAGACAGAAGCAGCAACCAAACTTGCAGGGAATCACATAAGGACCAGCAAAATGGGAAATCAGGAAAGGATTATCCCCAACTGCTCTGACTACAGGAGACTACATTGCTCGCAATATTATACTAGGTCTCAAAAAACCCCAACTGCCCCAAAACAAATTAAAAAAAACCCACAAAACTGGGATGATTGCATAGTATAGTTCTACTACCAAGTTAGATTTGTAGCTTGGTATTTTAAAGGAAAGAGAAGAAAAAGTGGACATGTAAATACAAGGCCAGACAACAGGTAAGCTACACACAGGTAAGATTTCATGACGTTTTCCCAACATTTTATAAATGTCACCTTACAGAAAGTCAGAGCTATCAGACCAGGAGAGCCTGCTAAAGCTGCAGCACCAGTGCCCAGTGCAGAGGCACAGTTAAAGAAAGGAGAGGAAGAGGCAGAAGAGGAATAGAATTGCTCACTATGAAACCTTGACACTGCAGCAGTGTCCATCTACTTAATCACGTATATTCAAACTCTAGGATAAATGTCAGGTAAAATAATGCTACAGTTAACACAGAACTGTGAATAAAACAATTTGCCTCAGCTAGTTTTAGTCAAATATGTAAGTAATTTTTGCATTCCTTTTTTAGTGAGACAAAGGCATCAACTGTCTTTTAGCCTTTATAGTTGTTTCTTTCTCCTGCTCTCTCCTAGATGACAGAGGACCCTCCCATAGAAAGATGACTGCAGGCAGTTTCCCAGTTATGGAACCCCAGGACTGAACCAGAGAAGATGACTGCTTAGGTGCCCTGTCACTCTCAAGCTGTATTTCTAAAGCAGTGTCCTTTAAATTAGGATTTTTTTAAAAAAAATCCTCTAAAAGCAACAGGAAAGAACAAGCAAGAAAGTCTTTCTCAAGAGCTCCTTTTCCCAGCTGTAACATTTGGGATTCATAATGAAGCATGAAGTATGCTTAAGGCTTTCTTCCTCTGTCTTAAGAACCAAAGGTTTCCCAAATAGTGTTTCCAGTGTAGCAAGGGAGAGGAAACTCAGATACCAAATTCTCAGGAACAGCAAGACTGCAATTTGAAGATGTGACCTTAAAAAGCTCCTGTGGCTTAATTCCTCTCAACAATAAATCCCTAATCATATTGTAATCCCTTTCTAGCCCCTTCAAGAAAACATATGCTCATAATCCACAGTTTTGTATTGTGCAAGTTATTTGTACTTCTGCCCGAAACACCACAGTGGGTGTAAAGTAAGTATCACTTTACAAGCTAAAGAAGCGGAAAGGATGTGCTTCCCACTTCTTACCAGAAAACCTGCAGGATGTCGGCTAAGCACAGAATTCCAGTCAGTCATAGTATGCTCCTCTGTTACTCTATCTTCTTAGCAGCTATTTGCCAGTTTAAAAAAAAAAAGTGAACTAGTCTAGGGGAATACTCTGTATCACTTCAACCCTAAAAGACCCTTCTGGATTCAGTTCCCTTCCTAAAGGATCAGCTACATAATGAGCTACTGAGTGCTAAAGCCATCTACCACCTGCTACGTCTTTTAAGAATGATTGAAGACCAAGAAATGAAAACATCTGCTTTCCACTTCGACCATTTAAAGCCATAAGCATGCAGGAACATGACGGCTTAGTTACCCAAAAGCTTTCAAGGACACTTGGGGCATGTGGTAAAGGTTAATTTCTGTGTTCTCAAAGGGCTGAAAGACCTGCAGGTGTGCCCTCAGACACACTGCCAGACACAGGACAGGCAGAGCAAGAAGAGACAGGGCCTCACGCAGTTGTTACTTCAATGGGTTGATGACTGTCTTTGAGTCTCCTTCCTGCCATATTAAGTCCTCTTGCTTCTTGTCTCCAAACCTTAGCCTTGATTTCAAGAGGAGAATAATGGTTTTAACAGTGTTTCTAAATAGATGTCCTACAAGCACTCCACACAAGCTTTTAGCCACAGAGAAGCTGGCAGTGAAGCAGGCAAACAGAGCTTAACCCACTTGAAACCCTGGTTCAGACGGTCTGAAGAAACCTTGATGTCTGTTAGGCTGAGAGAACATAAGTTTGGCATTCAGCTCAGACCACACTAAACTCCCCACGGCATCAAGACGATTAAATCAAGACCCAAGGTCCTAACCAATTCAAGATATTGTTGGGGAGGAAACGAGGGAGCAACTCAGCCTTTTCTATCAACAACAAGAAGAGCAAGACACAGTTAATACAACTTTCTCAAGTGAAGTCCTGCTTACCCTGTGTAGGCAAGACAGGTCATTTGTAGGTTCCCTATCAAATCCATAACAAAAGAGAAAGCAGTTTTTAATTGTTTCAGAACACAGGTGCTTGGACAGGGGAGTAGAGTACATGGCTGTTACACATGAAATAAGAGTTTTTAAATGCATATAGCATGCTAAAAATCCTAGACAGGAAGATGTAACTTCCTTCTCAATAGGCTGATGCTGTAACACTTTATGATTATACTTTTATATCTGAGACTAACATACTTTCAATTAATGACAAATAGGGCCTTACAAGGTTTGCTTGTGTGTATAAAAACATTATGAAACATGAGGTTTTCATCATCCCCTGTCTTAGGATGCATAAAATTGCTAACAAATTTGATCCAGAGTGGAAAAAACCATGCTGTTGAAAAGGCAATGCCATTTGCATTAAAAGGAAAAAAAGCTCCATGAATTACAAGAGACAACGGAAACTGATGATCTTACTATGCTGAATGACTGAACATTAATTCCATGACTTCAGCCTGTTCAGGGTGGACTGCAACACGTTACTTACATTTCCAACTGGGACAAAAAAGTGGAAGTAAAATGCAAGATGGAACTGAAAAGAACTTCACAATATAGTTTAAATAACCATAACACTATGGAAAGTTCTTGCACTAGAAGTTACAGTAGTTAGAATGGAATCTTCCTTGCCTTAGCAGTGCCCTCAAGTCCTGCATTTATTCTTACTTTTGTTTGTTTTTTTGTTAAGAGAACATCTCTTCTAATGCTGAGGCAGTAGACCACTCCATGGGACACTGCAGCCTTTCAGAGTGCACCATACAGTACCTAACTTGGAAAATTAAAGTGCCATTTGAAAAACATTCAGGAAACATTGTCTCTTAAGAAGGCAACACATCGCCAACCAGCTCATCTCTGTGTAAGATCCAAGACCTAGACAGGAACTGAAGACAACTGCCTCTTCAATCCCTTCCTCTCATAAACACAGATTCCAGGTGTGTTGGACACTGTGCATGCACAGGTGTTTTATTCCCTCTAAAGTCTGACTCTTGAGCTACAGCCTGTTGGTCCAGAATCTGTCTCTGGTTACAGGCAATGTGGTATCTTTGAAGTTGACCTTCCACCTTCTGATATTTAAATGCTCCACTGTAAAACATCAGGTAGAACAGGAAAAAGCCCACAGCCCTCACACACAGTAAGCCACCATGGATATTTTGCATCCTGATGCATGAAATACAATGGCCCTTAAGTTCAATTGCATAATAAAATAGTTCAGTGAAACCATAAAGTTGTGCAAGTCATTTAAAATACCATACAATTTATTTCCAGTGAATCCATAAGATAAAGGACAGTAAATACCAACTTTTACCCATACACACAAGACAAACCAGTACTTAACATGTTGCATATCACTATCATTATGCAGCTCTAAATGCCTCAGACAATGCTCAGGAATGTTTTCTTCCTCTTTCAGAGGAGGGATAAAGACCAGAGTCTTAAATAGCAGGTGTACAAGTGCAAATGCTAGGGGTGGCAATTAGTGCTATGATAATGGAGAAACCTAGACAGGCATGCCTTCTTTCTTCAGTCACTGGATGTCTGGAAAGCCCAGGCAAGCAGAGCAACCACATAGCGCAGAGGGGATACGAGTTTTTTTAAGTGCTGCACCTGCACAGCATATACTGTGAAAAACACCATGCGGGCCTGTTAAGGTTTCTTACATGCATGCAAACTGCCGTATAGCACATGGACACGCTTGTGCTAAAGGAATATGGCAGTCTTAACAAACAAGAGAAAACAGTAGTATTAAGAATACTATTAAGAAAGCAGCAGTATTAAGCTGGCATCCTCACTTCTGCAGGTCTTCTCTTCCACCACACAAGCAGTAACTACTATCGTACTTGTAATGAGTAACAGACAAGCTTTTTGTCCTGAGTTGCAATGCATCTGCATAGACAAAGTAACCTCATTTCAACCTTAGCAACCATACCTGTTCGTAGACATGTAGTGACTAGGTATCTGGTAATAGGAAAAGCAATTTCACATGGCAGCAT